CCTGACACAATGGCTCCCACCTGTAATCCCAGCACCTTGGGGGAGGGAGGCTGAGGCTGGTGGATCACCTAAGCCAGGCGTTCCAAGACCAGCCTGGCCAACATGGGGAAACCCTGTCTCTTTAAAAAAAAAAAAAAAAAAGCTATGTGTGGTGGTGTGCACCTGTGGTCCTATATACTCAGAAGGCTGAGGTAGGAAGATCACTTGAGCCTGGCAGGTCGAGGCTGCAGTGAGCTGTGATGGAGCCACTGTACTCCAGCCTGGGTGACAGAGTGGGACCCTGTCTCAAGAAATAAAAATAAATAAACTAAGGGGCAAAATTATTGTATAATTATACAATACAAATTGAAGACATATGTGGGCTGGAAATTTTATGGAGGGAGATTAGGATTTGAATAACTGGATGGTAAAAAGGGTATTGTAGGTAGAGGAGACTAGACAATAAGGCTTAGGTTGAGGGATAGAATGAGAGAAGGAATTATAAAAAGATTGGCTGGGGGCTGAGAGCTTCAAGCTAAGGATTCCTACTTCTGATTAGTGGTAATAAAAGGCATAGAGAATTCAATTATAAGTTGAAAATTGGTTAGGTGTGCCTTAAATGCCAAAGCAGTTTACAGTCGATTAAGTGGGGTTTGTAGGTTTTGACCAGAGTGATGGCATAATATCAAAGAGGTGTTTTTAGGAAAGCAACAAAGAAGTAGGGGCTTATTAAGTTTTGTTTCAGGTAGAAAGAAAGGCAAGGAGATTTAATGTCGGAAAACTAATTTTAGGAGGAGAAGGAATGGGTGATGGATGTATTGAGTTAAAAATTCACAAAATTTGGGCAGATGGGTGGTTCCCACATGTAATCCCAGCACTCTGAGAGACCAAGATGGGAAAATCACTGAGGTCAAGCATTCAAGACTAGCATGGGCAACAAAACAAGACCCTATCTCTATAAATAATTTAAAAAACTAGCCAAGCAAGGTGACCTGTGCCTGTAGTTCCATTTAGGAGGCTGAGACAGGGAGGATCACTTGAGCCCAGGAGTTGGAAGCTACAGTGAGCTGTGATCACACCATTGCCAACATTGCACTCCAGGATGGAGTACAAGACAGAGAACTTATCTCTTAAAACACACACACAATTTGAAGACCATTTGAATGGCTACTGCAATGGAAAAGAAGAGGGGACTCCCAAGCTGGTCACATCTGGGAGCTAAGTGGAGAGAGTGTGAAAGAGATAAAGGCAGATGTGTAAGGTGAAGAGACTTAAGTTTGTTTTCGCTTTTGTTTTTTGAGATGAGACTAAACAAAGGAGACAAGGAGATTTAAATTCTCCCTTAGTTTTTAAATTTACTGCGTTATAAAACAGCTTTTGCATGTTGCAGTATGGAAATTGAAAACGTAAGATTGGAGTGCAAGTGAAGCTGGGAGTTAGGGATGAAAGCCAGTTGGATTGTGAGCCAAATGGCAATGATTTTTATATACTACAGAGCTGTAGATATAGAACTATACTTGACCACATTTTAATTATTCACACTTGTTCTATTCTCTGTATTTAGGACTATTGCTGGGAAGATCATGGTTATTCTTTGGTAAATCGCCTTTATCCAGATGTGGGACAGTTGATTGATGAAAAATTTCACATTGCTTATAATCTTACTTATAATACAATGGCAATGCACAAAGATGTTGATACCTCAATGCTTAGACGGGCAATTTGGAACTATATTCACTGCATGTTTGGAATAAGGTTAGTCGTCTTTCTTTGTTTATAAAGAGATGTTTTTCTCTGGGCCAAATTATTCAGGTGCTTGGAGTGCACATGCACACAAACACACACATAATCAAAACCCATCCCCTCCCCAATAACTTATTCTTAAGCTTTTTATACTTCAAAGAATCACTTTATTGCAGCTTAGTTTTCTCTCCTCTTTTCTAGTTAGGCAAGAGGGAGAGTTAGGAACTTTGAGAAGAGTTGAATGACAGCTGCCTCCTGGAAAGGGAGGAAGGACAAGCAAGCTGGTTCCAGAGCAAAGTTTGTCACTGAATGCCTTTAGTATCTTTTTATATCATCTATCTCCTGACACATTTATGTTTCTTGGAAATCAGTACCCTTATATTGCTCCTCTGGTTGTTCTTAGGCTCATTCTGAAGAGTACTTGCTCCCATAATACCTAATCAAAACTTTCATGTCCTTGCTGTTAGGTTTTCAGCCATGTTATGATGTTATGTTGAAAATGCAGCCATTGTATGCCATCTTCTCACACATGCGCACAAACTCTCTGCTACAGTGCTTACTAGTCATTTTAGCTGTAAAGTCAGGCTTTCTATTCATTTTATCAGAGACTCTGCTCAAAACCTATAAACCCTATTTAATCTACTCCAAATTCATCTGGCATTCAAGGTACAACTGACCAACTTTAAACTAATTTCCCACTAATCAGTAGCCAGACTATTGACTTTAGCTTCCTGAATGGTTGTAGAACCAGCTTTTGCAAGACCTTTCTCCCCTTTCCACCGAAAACTCAATAGGAGACTACAGTGCCTATGTGATTGGGAATCCATTAACCAGTGGAAAAAAGCATGCATGCAACCATCTTGGCTTAAAGCAGGATGGGCTCTCCTAAGTATAAATCATCCTTCTCTCCCCAGCCCCTGCCTTTTTTCTCATTTGACCCCACAAACTCCTAAAAACATGAGTAAAGTAATTCCAATTATTTTTATTTATACAAGTGAATTTCTCTCTATATATATGTATATATAAATATATATAATAATATACAATATTTAAAATTAAAATATTTATAATTAAATATAGAAATTCACTTGTATAAATAAAAATAGACATATATATCTAGATATATATAGAGAGAGAATATAATAGTACCAATAACAAATATAATTGTTACTTAATTTTGATAATCTGTTTTCAGAATTGGTTCAGCCAGGTGCAGTGGCTCATGCCTATAATCCCAGCACTTTGGGAGGCTGAGGCAGGTGGATTACTTTAGATCAGGAGTTATAGACTATCCTGGCCAACATGGTGATACCCTGTCTCTACTAAAAATACAAAAATTAGCTGGGCGAGTGGCACACACCTGTAATCCCAGCTTTTTTCAGGAAGCTGAGCTGAGTGAATCACTTGAACCCAGGAGGTGGAGGTTGCAGTGGGTTAAGATAGCACCACTGGACTCCAGCCTGGGTGACAGAGCAATATTCAGTCTCAGAAAAGAATAATTTGTTCCTCAGTGTGGTTGCATGTTCATGATTGCAAATATACACTTGGTTGGTACCCAGTGCTACATTAATATTGTCAGCTTTCAGGAATGATTTACTTGGGTAGCGGAAAATGTTCTGTTACTCTAAGTCTGTTTCTTACTCCTTTATACTCAGTCATTCCCCGCCCCCCGCCCCCCCGCCCCCCCCCCCCCCCCCCCCCCCCCACCAATTGTAAAGCTCTGTCATCTTTGGGGACAGCTACCTACACAAAGAGGGAAAAAAAATACAGCATTAACTATTGATGTGTATGCTTTTGTAAGATGAAAATAGGTTATACACTGAAAATATAATTCTCACTATGTCTTTCAACAGATATGATGATTATGACTATGGTGAAATTAACCAGCTATTGGATCGTAGCTTTAAAGTTTATATCAAAACTGTTGTTTGCACTCCTGAAAAGGTTACCAAAAGAATGTATGATAGCTTCTGGAGGCAGTTCAAGCACTCTGAGAAGGTATGTGCCTGTTGTGGCTTGTTTACTCTGTAACTTAGCAATGATTCGTAGTTTCCTTCACCTAACCTAATGGCTCTGAAGCCCATTCCATGACCCCTACCAACCCAAAGAAAAACATTCTAGGACAGCTGTCTCAGGTATCCCTTCAGAAGGGAACCTCATCATAGTGATAGAGTACAAGAATGAAGACAGGGAGGACAGGTGGGCTGGCCCATCTTCAGAAGTGCTGGCATGGCTGTCAGCATGTAGAAGAAAGACTGTTTTGTAAAAGCTGTGTATGTGTAGAAGTGGCTGTTCTCTTTGAAACATATTTATAGAAATTACTGAATAATGATTTGGCAGGGGAAGTTGGTATTCTAATAAAACAGTGTCTAGATTTTCTGACATATAACAAACCTCCAAGAAATGATAAAATATAAATGAAAGCTATCCAAAAAGAATATTAGGCTCAGCACAATGGCTCACACTTGTAACCCCAGCACTTTGGGAGGCCAAGGCAGGCAGATCCCTTGAGGTCAACAGTTCAAGACCAGCCTGGCCAACATGGTGAAATCCCATCTCTACTAAAAATACCAAAAAAAGTAGCTGGGCATGGTAGCACGCACCTGTAGACCCAGCTACTTGGGAGGCTGGGGCATGAGAATCACTTGAACCCAGGAGGTGGTGGTTACAGGTTGCAATGAGCCAAGTTCATACCACTCCAGCCTGGGCAAGAGTGAAACTGTGTATTAGCAGAAAAAAAAAAAATATTAGATAGCTGTTGTTTTGAGAAATTGATATTCTGTTTAACAAACCCAAGACTAAGTTGTTCAGTACTATATAAGAAATGTACTATATAGGAAGTCTACTTATGTTATGTGTTCATTAGATGCACTGAAAAACTGTTACTGTGAATGCTTGTAACCCTTCCTTATATGATGTTGTATTTTATATTCAGGTTCATGTTAATCTGCTTCTTATAGAAGCTAGGATGCAAGCAGAACTCCTTTATGCTCTGAGAGCCATTACCCGCTATATGACCTGATGCCTTTCCTTCATTAAAGATGATTCTGGAATGATCAGCAGATAATAGTCTACAAGGGGAAGGTACCAAGCCCCAGGACCAATGGTAGACAAAATAATTCAGAAATCCATTGTGCCATGATTCCTTTAGTTCCTGCTATTTTACTGTGGAAAACCACTGCTGGTACAAGCAGTGATCGTTTGGCAGCTTCAAGTTTAGATCCATGAAGAAAGGCTGCCATTCACAGTATTTTGCTTTTTGACAGTAGAAGATGCTGTGTAACTGTTTTAATACAGCAAATAGTAATTCTCCAAATCATGTTGCTTTTATGTTGAGTAAGATAACAAGAATTGGAGCATGCAAAGAATGGGACTTGGATGATGACTTAAGCTTTATACATAAAGAATTTTAGAAGATCTTGGTGCTGCTATTCCTGCTGCAGGAATGAATAGATGGCTGTTTCAGTTAAGCTATTAGTAATAAAAGTGAACATTGCTACTATCTGAGCCTACATACATAACTTGTGTGATTTCAAATTAAACTTGCATTATGTGTTAATTTTTTTGCACCTGAAAAAGCATAGAATTCCTACTCACACAGCTCAGCAACAACCATTTTGATGGTGACAGTTCATTTCTTTCATTTGTTTTTTAAATTCAGGATTCTGGATGGTATTATTATGGCATCCTTAAAGATTTTCTTCAAAAAGCAATCCTAAATGAAAGTGTATAAATTGTAAGAAACTGGCTATATTTTGATATGCTGTTTCACAAGATACTGACACTGGAGGGCAGCTGTCTTGTGCAGGATTTTTGTAGCACTGAAGTTGTGGGACATGTTGCTGTAGACTGCTATGCAGTCCTAGGTGCATTCTATGTCTCTGCTTCTGCCTGCCTCCTGGTCCCCACTGTAAAAGGTTGTGCAGCTCCTTAAATAATAAAGCTGGAAAATATTTTTAGCCAGGTTATCAAATTTGATTTACAAAAATGCTAACTTTGTTTGAAATCCAAACAGGTTTGAAAATATGTATTAAATACTTTGTATTCTGGAAGTGTGAATTGCTTTTGAAGTCTGTCAGTATTATTGGTATTTTTCAATAAAGAATAATTTTTCTCCAATTTTATTTGCTGTCTCAATCTCTTAAAAAGTCATGACTTCACTATTATTAACAATTCTGACTTTCTCTACTTTCATAAGCCAAGCGGATTCACACTTAAATAATGCTGTAATCATGAGATTACTTTCAAATGGCAAAACACTTGAAGCCATTTTGAAAGATACAAAGAGGAGTGGACCCTCTTCAGAATCTTATTTAAGACCATTTATTATCTTGGAAATGACTAGTATGGCTCTTTGCTTGCTCCATTTTGAACTGGGATGTTGTGGAGTTCCAATAGAATTTTACAAATTATTAGAAAGAAGAATTCATTAGGAAGAGACTAGAGAACAAAAAAAAAAAATCACACTGTATCAGACAAGTAGAAATAGCTCTTACATTTAACTGAAGCTGTTGTGATAACTGTTACTCCTCAAAACACTGAGTCAATCTAGTGCCTACAAATGTATGGGGTAGTGTGGAAGCAGGGGTTGGGAAGGGTCAATTTTGAATAGAGGTGCTACCTGCCACTCAAGGATATAAACTCTAGTGAGAAGACAAGACTATAACCTTGGCTAGAAATAGACTACTATTATCTTCAATGTTTTATATTTAAAGAAACATAAGTTCATTGCCCATTGAATATGCATCATGCCTTTGTCCTCTTCTATCTGCTGCTGAGTTCTCTCACCATAGCAATACAATTTAACCCAAGAAGTAAGGATGCACTGGACATAGTTAAAATTTTACTCATCCCATTTCTGCTTTGTTCCTCCTCTTGAAAATACAAAATTTCTGGTAGCGATTCCAATCAGCTGTAGAGTGATCACAAAACAAGATCAACTGGAATGCATTTAGTCCACTGGAACTTACAATCACTTAGAAATTAAAATTTTAATGAGTTAAAAAATATGTTTATACCTAAAGTAATAAAAATGCATGTGATAAGTTAATGTTTCAGTGCCTTCCATTTAACAGGTGCTTCCTGTTACTCAATGTTTCCTCAAAACTAAACACTTTCTAATGTTACTATATAATCTTTGAAACCATTTGTTGACAGAATAACTAGGGAAGATACATTGCACTGGGGATATCAAAATATTCCCCCACCAGAGGAAAATTTTTTTCTAAAATAATCATGAAAAGATTTCTGGTTGAGGTTCCTAGGATTCAAGAGTTAAAATCTAAGGGGTTTTTTAATCATATTTGGGAAAACTTTTTTATTAGGCCAAACTTATCTCTAAGAATGAAATTCATTTTGATGCACACCACTGGGAGAAAAGTAGACAAGTAAAACTTGTTGGGTAAGCATTTTTGATCAATATACTCTGAAATTTTATTAGCATATTTCTATATGTGAATATCATACCCAAATCATCATACTAGCCTTTTGCTATAGCTGGTAGATGGAAAGTAATGTCAGCAAGATGATGGACTTCGGAACTCCACATCTTCATTCTCCCAGACACTTGAGTTAACAATATATGGGCCACAATATCTTTGTGAGAACTCTAAAAAACAAATGGGAAACTGCAGCACTTAGGCAAATGCAAAGCCAGGAAAAGGCTGCACCAAAAGGCTAGGAAAGTTTGTGCATTTTGCTCACCCTAGCTCTTCCCCAGCAGAGAATGGTATGATTAGGAGGAAGCGTAAATTCAGCAAAGTTGCAGGCTACAAAATCACACAAAAATCAGTTGCATTTCTATACACTAACAATGAATGATCCAAAAAAATTAAACAATTGCATCAAAAAGAATAAAATACTTAGGTATAAACTTAACCAAGGAGATACATGATGATCTGAATGTTTGTGTCTCCCCCTCCAGGTCTGTATGTGGAAATGTAATCCCCAATGTACTGGTATTAACAGGTAGGCTTTTGGGAGGTGATAAGGTCAAGAGGGCTCTGCCCTCATGAATGGGATTAGTGCCCTTGTAATAGAGGCCTGAGGAGCTCACCTTCCACCATGGGAGGATGCAGCTAGAGTGTGCCATCTGTGAGGAAGATGATACTCAATAGGTCCCAAATCCTTGATATTGGACTTCCCAGCCTCCAGAACTGTGAGCAATAAATTTCTGTTATCTATATATAAATTACCCAGTCTAAGGTATTTTGTTACAGCAGCCTGAACAGACTAAGACAAAAGACATATACACTGAGAACTGTAAAGCAGCAATCGCCAACCTTTTTGGCACCAGGGACTGGTTTCATGGAAGACAGTTTTTCCATGGACCCAGGGTGGATGATGCAGAGGGAGACGCTTTCAGGATAAAACTGTTCCACCTCAGATCATGAGGCATTAGATTCTTATAAGAAGTGCACAACCCACATCCCTCTCATGCACAGTTCACAACAGGGTCAAGCTCCTATGAGAATCCAATGCTGCAGCTGATCTGACAGGAGGCAGAACTCAGGCAGTAATGCTCACTTGCCCACAGCTCACCTCCTGCTGTGTGGCTGGTCCATGGCCCATGGGTTGGGGATCCCTGCTGTAAAGCATCATTAAGAAATTAAAGACACAAAAAAAATGGAAAGAGATCTCATGGTCCTGGATTGGAAGACTTAATATTGTTCAGGTCACCCAGAGTGACCTGTAGATTCAGCGCAATTTCTATCAGAATCCCAATGGCATTTTTCACGGAAGTAGAGAATTCCATGTTAAAATTCATCTAGAATCTTCAAGGAACCCTGAATAGCCAAAACAATCTTGGAAAAACTGTGTAACAAAGTTGCAGGTTTCACACTCCCTGATTTCAAAAACGATTGTAACAAGGCAGTAATCAAAATAACATGGAACTGGCAGAAAGTCAAACATATAGGCCAATGGAATAGGGTCCAGAAAATAAATTCTCACATACATGGCCAAACCCTTTTTAGCAAGGGTGCCAAGACAACTCAACACGGATAGGAGTTTTTTTTTTTTTTTGAGATGGAGTTTCGCTCTTGTTACCCAGGCTGGAGTGCAATGGCACGATCTCGGCTCACTGCAACGTCCGCCTCCCGGGTTCAGGCAATTCTCCTGCCTCAGCCTCCTGAGTAGCTGGGATTACAGGATTACAGTCTCTTCAACAAATGGTGCTAGGAAAACTAGATATGCCCATGCAAAAGAATGAAGTTGGACACTTATATTTTAAAAACTCAAAGACCTAAATGTAAGACCAACAACCGTAAAACTAGATGAAAACACTGAGGGAACGTTTCAAAACATTGGGTTTGGCAATGATTTCTTAGATATGACACAGAAGGTATAGGCAAAAAAAGACAATTGGAATTACACCAGACTTAAATGTGTTTGTGCATCAAAGGACATAATCAACAGTGAAAAGGTAACCTATGGGATGGGAGAAAATATTTATAAATCATATATTTGGTAAGGGGTTAATATCCAGAATATATGAAGAATTCCTGCAACTCAAAAAACACAAATAACTAAAAAATGGGGCCAGGTACAGTGGCTGACACCTGTAATCTAGCACTTTGGGAGGCCAAGGCAGGTGGATTAAGAGGTCAGAGACCAAGATCATCCTGGTCAACACAGTGAAACCCCATATCTACTAAAAATACAAAAATTAGCTGGGTGTGGTGGCACATGCCTGTAATCCGCTGGGATTACTCAGGAGGCTAGGGCAGGAGACTGGCTTGAACCCAGGAGGTGAAGATTGCGGTGAGCCGAGATTGTCCCACTGCACTCCAGCCTGGTGACAGAGTGAGACAATGTCTCAAAAAAAAAAAAAAGGTCAAAAGACTTGAATATACATTTTTCCAAAGATAATAAACAAATGACCAACAAAAATTATGAAGTGCTCAGCATGACTGTAAGAAATGTATATCAACATTACAATGACTCATTACCTCACATCCATTAGGATGGCTACTATTTTTTTTTTTGAGACGGAGTTTCGCTCTTGTTACCCAGGCTGGAGTGCAATGGCGCGATCTCGGCTCACTGCAACCTCCGCCTCCTGGGTTCAGCCAATTCTCCTGCCTCAGCCTCCTGAGTAGCTGGGATTACAGGCACGCACCACCGTGCCCAGCTAATTTTTTGTATTTTTAGTAGAGATGGGGTTTCACCATGTTGACCAGGATGGTCTCAATCTCTTGACTTTGTGATCCACCCTTCTCGGCCTCCCAAAGTGCTGGGATTACAAGCGTGAGCCACCGCACCCGGCCGTATGGCTACTATTTTTAAAAATTCCAAAATAACAAGTGTTGGTAAGGATGTGGGGAAACTGGAACACTTACGTGGTATTGGTGAGAATGTAAAATGATAATCACCACTCTAGAAAACACTATGGAGGTTCCTCACAATAATGAGAAATAGAATTCCATGATACAGCAATTCCACTTGCTGTGGACTGAATATTTGTGTTCCTCCAAAATTCACAGGTTGAAGCCATATGGTCTGTGGGAAGTAATTAGGTCATTAGCGGGGAGCCCTCTTGAGTGGCATTAAACCCTTATAAGGAGAGATAGATGAGAGATAATCTATCAGGAGGGCCTTCACCACAAACTGAACTGGCCAGCACCCTGACCCTGAAGTTCCCAGTCTTAAGAACTGTGAGGAATGAATTTAAGTCACCCAAACTATGATATTTTTGTATCTCACCTTGAACTAAGACATCACTTCTGAGTATATACACAAAAGAACTGAAAACAAGATCTCAGATATTTGCACACCTATATTCATGGCAACATTATTTACAATAGCCATGATATGGAGGCAACCCAAATGTTCATTGACAGATGAATGGATAAACAAAATGTGATATATACATAGAAGAGAATATTATTGAGTCTTAGAAAGGAAAGAAATTGGCCAGGCAAAGGTGCCTCACACCTGTAATCCCAACACTTAGGGAGGCTGAGGCAGTTGGGTCACTTGAGGCCAAGAGTTTGAGACCAGTCTGGGTGACATAGTGAAACCCCAACTCTACTAAAAATATAAAAATTAGCCAGGCATGGATTACAGGTGCATGCCTGTAATCCCAGAGGCAGGATAATCACTTGAACCTGGGAAGTGGAGGTTGCAGAGCCGAGATCATGCCACTGCACTCCAGCCTGGGCAACAGAGACTATTCTGAGACTCTGTCTCAGTCACAGGCAAAAATATGGATGGACCTTGATAATATCATGCTAAGTAAAATAAACCAGACACACACACACACACACACACACATTGTATGGCTCCACTTATATGAGATATCAAGTAATCAAAGTCACAGAAACTGGAAGTACTAATAGAATGATGGTTGCCAAGTGCTAGCTGGGGTGAAAATGGGGAGTTGTTGTTTGGTGCATATAGCTTCAGTTTACAAGATGAAAGAGTACTAGAGATCTGTTGCAGAACAATGTGAATATACTTAAACTACTGAACTGTACTCTTAAAATGGTTAAATGGTAGACTTTGTAATTTTTTTTAACCACAGGTTTTTTTTCTTTGTTTTAAATAGATGGTTCCAAATGGCCCAGCATGTGGGTCTGAGAGGAGCAGTTCAGTATGGAAGAGAATTGGTATAATGGGATCCCACCATGCATTACAATATTAGTTAAAAATATGAAGGGGGCTGTTTGGGGAGAGTTTGATTTTTTTTTTTCACTAAAAGCAGAATAAATAGCTTGCTATGGATGAAATACAGACTTAATCTGTGAATGTTTTAGACAAAGTCGTCCCTATGACTTAAACTGATTTCATCTATTAGAGTGAATCTACCAACATATACTTACATTATGGACTACAAGAAGGTCAGTGTCCCTAGGGGATTTTGCTGAGCCGTATCGGGTAGGAGCCCCAGACTAGAACCACTCTTAGAAAGTCTATTTGTTCCTGGAAATGTAGGTTTTTAATTTTTTTAAGACAGTGTCTTATGCTGTTACTTAGGCTGAAGTGCAGTGGTGCAATCTCAGCTCACTGCAACCTCTGCCTCCCAGGTTCAAGAGATTCTTGTTCCTGAGCCTCCTGAGTAGCTAGGATTACAGGTGCATGCCACCACGCCTGGCTAATTTTTATATTTTTAGTAGAGATGGGGTTTCACCATGTTGGCCAGGCTGGTCTCAAACTCACGACCTCAGGTGATTTGCCCACCTTGGCCTTCCAGAGTGCTGAGATTACAGGTGTGAGCCACTGTGCCCGGCTAGTTTATTCTAATAGGCTTCAGGAACCCATGCAATCTAGGATGCCTGCTCTTATCCCATGAGTCTTGGTATTTTGTAGGGTGAGAAATAAACTGTTAATAAAAGCCTTTCTCCAAGCAAAGTAGTAAATTTACTTTTTGTTGTTGCTGAGATGAGGTCTCATTTTGTTGCCCAGGCAGGTCTTGAACTCCTTGCCTCACAGGATCCTCCTCCCTCGGCCTTCCAAAATGCTGAATTATAGGTGTGAGCCAGTAAATTCATTTTCATTTTCAACTCATATTCATTTGGCTAGTTTAACAATAGTAATCTCAATTTTTTGTTTTAGGATAATAATAGTAATCTCAATATTTTGTTTTTTAATCATTTATTCAAAGGCCAAACTCATCCTACAAAGCATGGCAAGCTAATAAAGTGCTCACCGTCATCATGTTCTTGAGCATCCACTCCACATCATACACTGGATGTGCCATTTGCCCATTTAATAGTTTGTTCTGAACTATACTACAGTAAAATAGATGTGATTCCCATTTTACAGTTGAAGCTCCAGAAATTAAGTTACTTGTTCTAGGCCCACACAGCTTGCAGGGGAGAGCAAGGATTCAGGCTCAGGTCTACCATTCACCTAAGCCTACATGCTTTCGAATACATTACATCACCTGCCAAACACAGAGAGTTACAATTAAGAGGACTGTCTTATTCCAGTCATTTTATTTCAAATGAAAAGATACTCTTGTTTTAATCTATTTTACTTATTTAATACAGAATAGATGGCCCAAAGCAGTTTTCTCTATGATTTTCTGCTTACTCCTTCTCTTTACTATGAGGACCAGAAAAATACTGGTACCTAGAGAGAACATTTATTGTTTGATGTAGTAAGAATTAACACAGATCCTATGTTGTAATGTGTTCCATTCGTGCTGACTACCCTTCTTTATAATCTAACAGCCTTTACTGCACAGTTCATTTAACTTGTGAACACTTTAATTCCAAAATTGCTAAATCAAGATTTTAAGACTAGAACTAAATTATTTAATAGAGAATAGAAGAAAAAGTCATTTACTTAAAAATGCATATATTTTCATCTCACATTTCTCTTAACAGGAAATATAACAGGTATATTCATTTTTCCATAATACCCTAACAAGAATAAATGCTTATTTTTTAAAAAAAAAAATACTTTGGCTACTCAATAAAAGCAGTTCTTGAAAAACTGTCCACATTTGTTAATGCTGAAAAAATATTTACATTTGTTACCAGTTCTTAAGAATGAGGGAGATGCGACTTCCTGTTTCTACTGTTAACCTGCATCTTGTTAGAAAGAGGGAACGGGCAGGGGTTCCAGGAAGGTGTGATGTCTCTGAATTCGGTTTAGAAGCTGCTGTGCCACAGGTTTGAATTCTGTTTCCCAGTGGAGTTTGTGATAGTTTTTTAGGTCTGGATCAAAACTGCCATCCAGTGCTAGTTCTTCATCTGTATTAGAAAAATTTAAATTATAGCATTATTGGGAACTGTAATCCTATTGAATATAGTTTCATTTTGATGATATGAGTTAAACTCACCCAGGGTCATCCTTTAATACTAACATAACACAAGATACAACTTCAGAGAAGTTCTTTACTCTCTTCTGTTCTTTATGAATGCATCATTTTATTTTATTTTATTTGGAGAGGCAGGGTCTCCATGTATTGCCCAGACTGGTCTCCAACTCCTGACCTCAAGCGATCTTCCCACTTTGGCCTTCCAGAGTGCCAAAGTGCTAGGATTACAGGTGTGAGCTACCTCACCCAGCCCATTATTTTTAAATTAGTATATTTTGGTATCTTAATTTAAATGGGTAAAATTTTTTTCCAGAAAAATCTGGCCAGGTGTGGTGGCTCATGCCTGTAATGCTAACACATTGGGAGCCTGAGGTGGGAGAACTGCTTGAGCCCAAGAGCTCAAGATGAGCCTGGGCAACACAGTGTCACTTCAAAACAAAATTAAAAGATTATCTGGCTTTCCAGGCAAGATGGCCAATTAGACACAACTCCAGCACACAACACCCAGCGAGAGAGATGCAGAAATCCAGAGATCTCTTAGCTCCAACTGAGGTACCAGGTGCATTTCAATGGGTCTGGTCCCATGGTGAGCAAAGCCCACTCAGGGCAGACCAAGGTGGGGAGGGGTGCTGCTTCATCCAGGAAGTGCATCTGACTGGCAAGTCGGCGGCTCCCCCTCTGGCACTCCAGTCCAGATACAGCGCTTCCCCCAAAGCCTCAGCAATACATAGAACAGGGGATCTTTGCCAGTCAAGCTCCAGAAATTACAAGCCCGGAGTTGAATAACAGCCTGCGGACTGAGCTATTGCCCCCTCCCCCTGCCCTGAGGGAGAGGGAGCTGTAAGCGGGAGCTGCTGGGCGGGCCCCTACCCGTGACAGGAGAGAGATGAAGCTGAAAGGGGGAGACGGCTAGGTGCGGCTGGGCAGGTCCCTACTCTCCCCTACAAACCCCAGAGGTCTGAAGCTCTGACTCTAGTGGGTTGCTCAGCCAGTGCCACAGTCTGAGATGAACCCTGAATGATTCAGCCCAGAGGAGGAAGGACACAACCCACCACTAGAAGGGTGGGACTGGGCTACATGTTTTAACAAAAAACACAGGAAGCCTACGAAGCAATGCGATGGCATTCTTGACAACCCAGCAGCGCCTACAGGTCAGCTTAAGAGGCAGGCCTAATCTCCCAGTATAAACAAAAAAGACATAGGAAGCTTCCCTAGAAACCCAGTAGTGCCCCCACAGGCAGACAAAGGACCTCATCAAGCAGCTGTCTGACACCACAGCCAGGTAAATCCATAAAGATGGGGAAAAAACAGCACAAAAAAGATGAAACCATCAAAGACCAGAACACCTCTTCTCCTTCAAGGATAAAAAGATGGAAACCCATCTCACATACAAAGACACACATAGACTCAAAATAAAGGGATGGAAGAAGATTTACCAAGCAAATGGAGAACAAAAAAAAAGCAGGGGTTGCAATCCTAGTCTCTGATAAAATGGACTTCAAACCAACAAAGATCAAAAGAGACAAAGAAGGACACTATATAATGGTAAAAGGATCAATCCAACAGGAAGAGCTAATGATCATAAATATATACGCCCCCAACACAGGAGCACCCAGATACATAAAGCAAAACTCTCAATAAACTAGGTATTGATGGAATGTATCATAAAATTATAAAAGCTATATATATGACAAACCTACAGCCAATATCATACTGAACAGGCAAAAGCTAGAAGAATTCCCTTTGAAATCAGGCACTGGAAAAGGATGCCCTCTCTCACCACTCCTATTCAACATAGTATTGGAAGTTCTAGCCAGAGCAATCAGGCAAGAAAAAAACAACATTAGAGCGAATTGGCAACCAACAGAATGGGAAAAAATTTTTGCAATCTACCCATCTGACAAAGGGCTAATATTCAGACTCTACAAAGAACTAAAACAGATATACAAGAAAAAAAACCAAACAACCCCATTCAAAAGTGGGTGAAGGACATGAACAGACACTTTTCCAAAGAAGAAATATATGAGTCCAACAAACATATGAAAAAATACTCATCATCACTGGTCATTAGAGAAATGCAAATCAAAACCACACTGAGATATCATCTCACACCAGTTAGAATGGCGATCATTAAAAAATCAGGAGACAACAGATGCTGGAGAGGATGTGGAGGAATAAGAACACTCTTACCAGTTGGTGGGAGTGTAAATTAATTCAACCACTGTGGAAGACAGTGTGGCAATTTCTCAAGGATCTAGAAATAGAAATTCCATTTGACCCAGCAATCCCATTACTGGGATATACCCAAAGGATTAAAAATCATTCCATTATAAAGACACATGCACATGTATGTTCATTGCAGCCCTGTGTACAATAGCAAAGACCTGGAACCAACCCAAATGCCCATCAATGATCAACTGGACAAAGAAAATATGGTACATATACACCATGGAATACTATGCAGCCATAAAAAAACGACGAGTTCGTGTCCTTTGTAGGGACTTCGATGAGTCTGGAAAACATCATTCTCAGCAAACTGACACAAGAAAAGAAAGCCAAACACCATATGTTCTCACTCATAGGTGGGTGTTGAATGAGAACACGTGGAGTCAGGGAGAGGAGCATCACACACTGGGGGCAGTTTGGGGTGGTAGGGGAGAGACAGCCGGGAGTGGGGGAATGGGGAAGGATAACATGGGGAGAAATGCCAGATACAGTATGCACCTAAAGTAAAATAAATAAATTAAAAAAAAAAAAAAGATTATCTGGGCATGGGAGTATGTGCCTGTGGTCCCAGCTACTCAGGAGGCTGAGGTCAGGAGGATCGCTTGAGCATGGGAGACTGAGGTTGCAGTGAGATATGATCATGCCATTGTACTACAGCCTAAGCGACACAGTGAGACCCTGTCTCAAAAAATTAAAAAATCCTAGATTGAACTGAACCCTTATTTCAACGAATTCCTTAGTTTTTTATATGTAAGCTTGCATCCAAAAGTCAGACCACAATTCTCAGAATAAATGACACATTAGTATGTTACTTCCTTATGCATACATAGAAAAGTTAATTATTTCAAAGGTTAGATATGAAAGGAGTCAGGGAATCTTTTAGGATAGCAGCTCTGTAAATTTGACACTTTAAACTTTACTGAAAATCAGAACTTTGCTGGCTTGAAAGCAACAGGGAAGTAGTACTTTGAAAAGACAAACTTCCACCCCCACACTCTGTCCATATCTGAAAACTGGGAGACCTTGTGAATCCCAAGGAGTATCAGAATCCCCAGTGAGCCCATGGGTAATGCAGAAAAGAACTTGTAAGAATAAAATGCAAAAGTACAACTTTGATTTTTAATCCAAGGGCATGCTGCATTCTGGGAACACCACAAATATATTCAATCCAAGTAGGAAGATAAACGGCCACTGAGGTTTCTGTGCTGGTTGCCATGGCAATTTCACGTGTTGATGTGGAGCCTCACACCCTGTGTGACAGACTTCAGAAAAGTGCACTGACCTGCCAGTCAGATTAGCTCTGCCACTTCCTACATCTGTGACCTGAGGCCGACTTCTTAAATGGTAACCACTAAATCCTAAAAGAATCATAAATGTTGCTACTTAAACTGCCAACAACTTTTTTTTTTAAAGACAGAGTCTTGCTGTGTTGCCCCGGCTGGAGTGCAGTGGCACAATCTTGGCTCACTGCAACCTCTGCCTCCTGGGTTCAACCAATTCTTTTGCCTCAGTCTCCTGAGCAGCTGGGATTAAAGTCATGTGCCACCACGTCCCACTAAGTTTTGTCTTTTCAGTAGAGATGGGGTTTTACCATGTTGGCCAGGCTGGTCTCCAACTCCTGACCTCAAGTGAACCGCCCACCTTGGCCTCCCACAGTGCTGGGATTACAGGCGTGAGCCTCTGCACCCAGCTGCCAATACTTTTTTTATAGGGCCAATTAAAGTCCTATTATAAAATGCTTCATGACTCTGTTGATACCAAATTTTCTACACTGAATATTTGTGTACATTCACGGTGTACTTTGGCATTACGGGTGTTAGTGTCACCACCCAGAATAAGATAAAAGAGTCTGGAATCCCAGTTTATGCCTTCCTCTCATCACAACCAAGTGGTCAACTATGCAGTTCTGAGATAAGTTCCAGGCAGACACAAACACTTCAGCAAGGAGCGCCATGGAGATCCTGTAAGCAAACCTAGATCTCCCCACCCATGAGATAACCAGGCCCTGAGGGAGTAGAGTGCAGAGTGTGTGTGATGCCTTCAAAGTTCTTCCTGTTTGGCTACTTCCAGACAAGAAGAGTCAGTTAGTCTCAGTGATATCAGATTTCATTTCATTTTTTTGAGACAGAGTCTGCTCTGGGGTACAATGGTGTGATCTTAGCTCACTGCAAACTCCATGTCCCAGGTTCAAGTGATCCTTGTGCCTTAAGCCTCCCAAGTAGCTGGGACTACAGGCATGTGTGACTACACCGGGCCAATTTTTTGTATTTTTAGTAGAGAAGGGGTTTCACCATGTTGCCCAGGCTGGTCTCGAAATCCTGACCTCAGGCGATCCACCCACCTTGGACTTCCAAAGTGCTGGGATTACAGACATGAGCCACTGTGTCCAGCCAGTGATTTCAGATTTCTAGGCCATCTTCCTGCTCACTGTTTTCCAGATTTTCTGAACATTAAACTTTTGTTGAAAAGTGAATTGTTGTATAAAAATAAAATTCCGTTGTATAGAAAATGAATTCTGTTGTATAGAAACAGTTCTGGGCCAGGTGTCATTGCCCATGCCTGCAATCCCATCACTTTGGGAGGCCAAGGTAGGTGGATCACCTGAGGTCAGGAGTTGGAGACCAGCCTGGCCAACATGGTGAAACCCCATCTCTACTAGAAATACAAAAAATTAGCTGGGTGTGGTGGCAGTCGTCTGTAGTCCCA